ATGTAGATTGTAGTTGAGAATATGTCGCTGAAGTCAAGTCAAGTATATCCATGTCAAATAAAATGACTTTCATTGTTTAAATGCTTTTTAAAAACATTAATCAAAAATCAAATCTGATTCATCTATATAACATAGATAAATAATTGACTCTTCTGATAAATGCTCAATAGATTATAATGTTACGAAAAATTTTTATCCTCAAGATAAATATTTTTCACGTCGGATATAAATTATTTGGAAAGGAATATCATGAATAGATGAGATTATTTAATTTAGCATATTATGAAGTCAACGTTTACAATCTAAACTAGATTGTACAAACTGTATACAACGATCTTAAGCAATCAGTTGAGATACGAGTGATTGTTGTCCTTAAAAATTTTTCAATTTCACAAATGATTTTCTGATAGTCATGTATGTGAATCAATTTCTTCATATTTTTGAAAAGCTGATCCTCCTTCGAAAAATCGTGTTGGCTCTTTCGAAGTTCATAATTATTGCACCATATATTATGTATATGCACTTTCAAAAATAGGTGTCACCATCTCTGTGTTTTAATTTGCTTCTCCGAATGTGAAAACAACTAAGTTAGGATTCTATTTTCGTTAAAAAGAAAACAAATTTCTTAATCTTGCATCATCAATTATCTTATAATATAATTAAGTTAGCCTAAATCATTGCATACAAGATTGATATTTCAAATTGTCGCTAGTGTACATTCAAAATCAGAGGACATCTGGAGAATTCTATTTTACAATATATTTTTATGTTGAAGAGTAGTTACATAGACATAAAAAAAGACTTTTTCTTCATAGTATCTCTTTATTATCAAAGTAGCATTTAACTATTCTTACCTTATAAAAAGAAAGAACGAAAAAGAAAAAGACAAAAAATAAGTGTACATGACGACATGATAGCAAACACAGTTTAAATTATCGAAGCGACAAACAAACATATTATCACATGATGAGTAGCGTACTCATATTATTACTACTATTTATCGTTATATATATAATTGGTTATTTTATTTATAAAAGTTATTTCTATTTTCCACCGATTGAAAAACATCAACTAAGAAATAAACGTATAATAATAACTGGAGCATCACGTGGTATAGGTGAAGAATTAGCCTATGAATACGCACGTTATAATTGTCGTCTTATATTGGCTGCACGTAGTATTGATATATTAAAAAATCAAGTTGCTAAAAAATGTCTTTCATTGGGTGCAACACAAGTTGAATGTATTCAATTTGATGCATCAACTGAACAAGCATGTGTTGAATTAATTAATAAAACAATTGAATATTATCATGGTATTGATATACTTGTACTTAATCATACTACAGCAGTTTATGGACCATTTTTTAAAAGTAATATTAAAACAAATATTGAAAATATGAAAAAAGTGTTTGATGTAAATTTTTTTGGATATTTTCAAACGAGTAAGAAAATACAAAATTTAATTATTTTTAAATTTCTTTTTTCTTCCTATTTTTAAGCAATGGCAGCTCTTCCTCATTTATCTCAACATGGAACATATGAACAACCATCTCAAATAATTGCAGTATCATCAATAACTGGTACTTGTCCATTTCCTCAAACAACTATTTATGGTAAATTATTATTTTAATATTTGTGCAGACTCATGAAAAATATTTTTATTTAAATAAGGTACAACAAAACATGCTATTCAAGGTTTCTTTTTGAATCTTGCTCGTGAACTTCGTACTTCTGAACCATATCAAAATCGTGTTACAGCAACTGTAGCTGTTCTTGGATTAATTGCTACTGAATCTGCACTTAATTCAACTAACAAAAGTCTTCATTTTTTAGCGGCTGACGTACGTAAAACTGCTCAAGCAATTATAGCTGCTGGTGTTTATCGACAAACTCGTTTATTTTATCCATATTCTTTAGCAATCATTCCACCACTTTATTATACATTCTCTCCTTTATTTGAACTTATAGCTCGCTTAGGCGATTGATGATCATCATTTATTGAAAGAATAAAAACAAAGAAAAAAATTGACTCGCATGAAACACGCACAAAAAAAATATTGTATATGCATCTTTTATCCAGTACGAGATTTATCATTGATAATAGAAATTTTTTTTTGTTGAAACAAGAGACAATTATATGTGGTCGATTGATATCTGTATTAGTACAATAAACAGAATTTCTAAAATCTGCTATAAGACCGACCATCTCTGTTTTAAACGAAAATATATTTACATTTATAAATGAAATAATTTTTTCTGATTTATAATATTGAGTAATCATAAATACTAGCTTCATGTTTCATTTCCAGCATAGAAGATAAATTCTTTCGGAGGAAATTGCATAAAATAAGGCAAAAATAATTGTTAAATGTTTCAAGATTTTACTGAAATTTTCCCTAGACTGAAAACTTAGAGCCTAAAAATCGTAATTCACCTGTGTCCGTCTGTGACAAAGGCTTGGTACAAATAACTATTTTCATGACACAAATGACCATAAAAATACAACCATCTGCTTGTCATCATTCCGTCAGTTTAGGACCCAGCAAATCGACCTGCGATGTCGATGAACGTTACTTGTAAGTAACCATTGGTGTAGGATTATTTTGAATAGAATCTTTGATAAATTCACTTCATCTTGAAATCAAAATCCAACAGTTTACAGTCGGTTTTGTTTTCATCTAAAATGAAAGCTGTTTCAGAACAATTTTAATATCTTATTTCTATCACTGTATGCCTTTCTTTCGGCTTCCATAACCAAAAAAACAAAAATACGCATCGAGCACGTCATGTTTGTGTGAATTGCGCTCAATTAATTAGAATTTCTTGCAAGACTTTTGCGTTTGAACAGAAGTGAGAGATACAGTTCGCAGTTATTAAAATTCTATCGAATCGAAAAAATGAGTTGTATTCTTTACCGAACTGACATCTAACCATCGAATATCAGAAACAAATATTTCAGAATGACAATCAATTAACGCTGTAGATGGTAGAGACTTTTCTTGATGAACTTAACAGCCCGACTGATTTTTCTATTACAAGAATATAGGAAGAATTCTTTCTGAGTTGAAGGTGTAAATGATCAACGGATTTCAAGAGTAAAATCCAATCTTGATACTACTAGTATCACACTTTTCATCACGTGAACTGTCGATTGGCAAGTAAGAAAAAATATTGTTTCATACAAAAAAAGACTATTTTTTAGAAAATGTTCAATCAAACCACATTTGCTACCGAAGAAAATCAACGACGAAACTCAGAAATATAGAACGAAAACGAGATATTCTCATTTCAAAAACAAAATTAATAAGCAAAAAATAGTAATCTTCGTTTCGTAACATTTTATGACCGATGTCACTAGTCAAAATGTTCTTCATCATCAAATTCTGGTTTCAATTTTATTTGACAACAAATGATGGTTTATTTGATTGAGGGATCATAAATGATTGATGAGATTGCAATTGATTAATGATTTGAGATTGAGATGTTGAATGGCTAGTTGTTTCAGAATCAGACAATTCTGACTTTTTCTCAATTGGATTCGGTTCATTCGATCAAGCATTCAAAGCATAGTGACGTCAGGGTTCAGCGGAAAAAACAATAAGGACAGTCTACGAGTCTATCATCTTTCTTGTACGCAATAATGGATTTGAAAATTATACTCTCGAAACAATTGCTTATCGTTAAGTTCATATTCTCTTATTTCGAGCAAAACTGCATCATGTACAAGTATGTTTCTGCAAAACAATTGTAATTAGTAATTTTTGTTTTGTTACTTTTTTCGTTTATATTTAGATTGTATAGTAAAAACATACTGTTTCATTTAATTTCGTTTACACTATTCAATGGCATATTGAGAGTTGAACGTTTATTTTGTAAAGAATGAAATAATAAATAAATATTTTTGAAAAGTATGAGAATTAACAAAAGATTCCAAACAATAAGATGTCAGTTTCTTCGACTTTAGTTATACTCTAAATATTATGAAACATTTCGAAAAGACCGTGAACTATCTTTAAACTGTTTTTCGGATATTGACGAACTAGGACTCTGAATAATATTAAATTCCTATGAGAAAAAGTTGAATATAATGGGTTTCTGACAAATTTTCTGTATGAATTCATGATTCTTTAATAAATAGTAGTGATCCGAAACTGAGCCACATGTCACCATTTTATTTCCAGTATTTTCGCATCAAATTATAAATGAAATTATCATCGGGATGAACAAACAATAAAGAATGCAATCTATATTTAGAAGAAAGATGAGATTTTTGTCGTACAAATGGGAAGTTTTCAGTTAATGGAAGTTCACTCTCAAAATTACAAAAAATCGAAACATCTAAACAAGAGCAAGTTATTTGTGTTCATGTGATGAAAAATTGACTGTCGTCGATGCTAGAATCAATTATAGACTTCTAATTGTTGAAATCTTATTTGGTGACATAAACTAAACTTTACTAAGAAATATTCAATTTTTCAAGTGTCGACACATTGAACTTTCACATCTGATCTTTGAAAGGAGGCTTTTCAAAACAATCAAACAACTACATTTCTTTTAAAAATGTTTGTTTACAACAACAGTGATTTAGTCTCCTACAATAAAGAAAAAAGATGTTTTTCAGTAAGCATCATTATGGAGATTTTATTGAGAGATGAATAGCTTCCATACTTTTGCTACACTAGGATAGACTAAACAAAACTATCAATCGTTCTATTACTCTAAACTATCAAATCTATAATCTGGTAGTTCAGATTGGCTAAATCGCAAATCATGATTATTCAACTGTGACGATCTCCAAATAGCAAGTGTATAAATATCTTACATAAATGAAATAACGGTAGGTTATCATTTACCCTGAATCAGATTACTACAAATGCATCTCTAAATCACATTCACATTTGTGGATAATAAAATCGAAAAAAAATTAAAACTGGTAACTAAATAGGGATTTTGATTTAGAGATTTTTTAATTTAGGGATTTTTTTCCAAATGTAATACGCAACAAATTCTAGTTCCCTAGACCACTATTTACATCATGTTCACATTTGTGCACAACTAGGCAATTAACGCAGTTCTGATGACCAGTTTCAGTCTTTTCCAAA